AAAACAATCAGCACTGCACGGCGGTTTGAGATCTTGCAAAAAAAGTTAAATAAGTTCCAGTTTTCATAATGCACATCCATATAATATTGGCGAATTGATTTGTGAAAGTGTGGTGTAATTTTTAAAATTATTATGCTTCTAACTATATAATACGATTGTATAACGAAAGCCATACTAATTCGATTGTAAGTGATGATGTTTACTGAGGTGTTAATTCTTTAAGCTGTTGACGAGCTCAAGATTACCAAATTAACACTAATAGTGGTGTTCGGTCATTTAAACATTACTTAATTAAGTTGATAAGCTTCCTAAAAAATAAACCCGAACTGTCTGTATTACGTAGTTTGCCTTATCGACGATATTTTGGATCTTCACGCAGTAAAAAAATTAGTAAATAGGATAATTTGCAACGTTAGTTACAACTACAAGAACAATAATTTACTGTGGGGTACTTATAGAACTTGAGGAACGGAAAGAAAAAGTGGATTATCTGGAAGCTTGTATTACGGATATAGGAGAGTGATACAAATTGGAATGGCAAAATTTGCAATCACAAAACTAGCCTACTCATAGAAAAAGCTTATCATCAAGATATAAAACTACTAATGTGGCTTGCATTTCCGATTGGAACATACAAGTCATGGACTCTTGATGCCTGCGAAATGGCCAGCTATAGAAAAATGCTAGAAATACCATAGACTGTGGGTATAGAGAAAAAATAGTCAGTAACAATTCAATTATACGTATTCAAGTAATGAAAACTGCGGAAGATAGAGGCGTGGAGACCACTGACTTCGACACAGAATATATAACGTGAACTTGAAAACATATTTTTACGCAGTAATGGAAAAATCGATCCAGTGGATTGTGGAAACTATTAAATTAATTCGATGAACTTTTGTTCTAACTAAATGTAACGAGTTAAGAATACATTTCACATTCCCGAAAAGGGAGAAGCGTCATATGAATTGATTGAGATCAAGATATTTTTACCAATTACAATTGAGCAGCAAAGTAGGTAAAGCTACAGACTAGAAACATATATAGTAGTGGTGTATATTTGGGAAAACTGAGCATTTTTTACTTCGGACAAATACCGCAGGTATGGGACAGAAAGTAAAGTCTTTGTTGGCTTGGTTTGGTTATCAAGCGGACCCATTATTTGTTCTCTAATAATCAGAATGTGTATGTGTAGGAAGTCAAAATGAGACGCAATGAGTTATAACGAAAAACTCAGAAACGAAAAATACTCTACAAGTTCAGAGTTTTGCGTTCAGTAAAGAGTGCGCTCTAAATGTCGTAAAAATCCCTTTAAAAGTTCATTCAAATAGCATGAAATCCTGAATTTTGTCCACTTCGGAAAAGTTGATATGAAAATTAACGCCTTCACTCAACTGCATAATCTTCATTAAAAAAAAAACAGGCTAAACTAAAACTCTTGACTTTTTTAACAAAAATATAAAAGTGGAACGCATATTTTCATATGTGAAACGGATCTCTGGAAACAAGCTTCACATGAGGTTGGTAAAAACAAAAAGCCTCCCAAAACATGCCTGAAGTTTGAAAATTTCTTATGAAGGAGTCCATCCAATAGGAACCAAATCCGCACTATCAGTAAGCTGTTGCTAATTTTTAATACTGGAACCCAAATCTCGATATCTGAAGCGCTTCTTTAGCGAAAAGCTTCAGATGAGCTTAATACAAAAATACAAAGTGGCCCGAATGATTCTCGAAGTTGATTCAAAGAAAGAAGAAAATGTGTTTTGTACAGTAGGAAATCTATCCAAAGCCAACCTTATTTGAAATCAGCAAAGCAAAGAGATAAATATAAAGAAGAATAATGAATATAAAAAAGTAATAGAATAACAAATATAAAGAATCGATAAAACTTCAGTTGCTTGTCGGAAAACGAAACTCAGTTCAAGAAAAACAGTTATAAATTAGAGATCTTCTTACCAGCTTTTTTCAAGCTGGCGCCCCATCCTCCATTTTCTACCCATTAATCCTCAAGAAGTTCACTACACTTTCACAAACTACCGCACTTGCCATAAGGCCACAATGACATATTTGTATATACAATGTCTACATTTCCCATCTAATAATGAGATTATCGACCGATTTCATCCACTGTCCGTAGCAAACGGAACATTCTTTCTTCTTTTTACATTTCTACGAGAGACACCGAACTACAGAATAAACATGATTATTTAATCATTTAATTGTTCGCCCTTTCGATGATTCATGCTTTACTTGGCAGTTCGATTTCAGCTTATTTATTGTTGGCATTTTTGTAGAAAGTGCGTGTTCGCACGACAATATTTTCAAAGGCAAATTTTACGTTTCCACATAACGAGCCAACTAAACGAAAAACACTCCAAGCGCCCATCTTTCACTAACTTAGTATTAAATTTAGAGCCATTTCTGATTAGACTGGATTTCACTCAGCTGCAGTGATTAATGCCGAACGCCAAAACTAAAATTAATAACCGAATTAATTTTGTTTTTCAATATTCATCGCCAATAAATCAGTTATAAATTAAACTGCTGCTCAATTTGGAAGGCTAGATAGTAAATAGAAAGCTACGAAATTTCAGCTAATTAAAAAGATCATTTAAAAGTTCTGATTTTAAGAATTATTTCGCCACAAGCGCAATTTGAGGTGCGGCTCAATGAGCCATCACAAGTGAGGGGCATCAACTCAACGCAGTGTTACCCAGGCCTTGTTTTCGCTTCCCTTCTCAACTCTTTCCAATTTTGAATTTAGTTAATTTCATCCTCATGCTTTAATGTTGGTTGATTGTGAATTATCATAATCTTGATGTATCTTGCTTCTACACTTTCACGCTCTGTACATTTGTTTGGGTTTGGTATTTGATTTGACGCGACTATGTTGACAAACAATCACGTGCTTTCGGCTAGTTACGAAAACAGAAAGACGAACAAAAATGGGTCAAAGATATTGTCGTAAAGGATCAATTTCTACCGGTTCCTGTATGTGAAAAACCGCTAGAACACCCTTGGTACTGTATACAGTTCCAATGATTTCAAGAACTTTAGTTTTCGGAAGGAATTTTAATAGTAATGAAACTATTTTAAATATGTAATTTAACAGCCAACAACGCTATTGTATTGCAACATAATGACAATCTTTATCAAAAGCCACCAAATCAGGCTGTAAAACTCCAACTTGTACAATGATATTATATTAGTTTGTACTACTTTTAAAAGCGAATCCGTTAAGTTGTGACAATTAAGTCACAAAACAGCCTCTACAACTAGTGTTTAGATAATAACACTTTTAAAACAAAATACTTTTTATGGCTTTTCGAAAATTGCAACATTTCCAGAGTACGTTTTATTTGGTTCAATGTGCTCTCTATTGGTTGACTACTAACTTTCAAAAAAGTTTCAGGCTCTTACAAGTGGGACAAACTAAAATAACACGTACAATACGATACATTTTTAGAATGACCCCCAACTAATCCCAATAGAATATATACGTTATGGAAATGATAGAACGTTGTATGCACAGAAATAAATAAGCAAAAGAAAAGTTTTCAAAAATAGTCGCTAGTTAAAAGTCCAAGCTACAGTTGACTATAGCCAAAAACGAACTAGATGGATTTTTTAAGACACCCATGGTATTGACCCTGAAACTTATAAATGTTTGTTATCATGATCATGTAAATTATCGAGTGTAATCAACGGGCTATTACAAAAATGAGATTACACCAAATATATTTTCCTCCTAAAACCGAACTGACTCAATCTCAAAACAGTTAATCATTTGTAATTTTAAAAGTCGTTTGTCGTAACGAAAATATACAAAAAGCACATGTACATTATTCTTCTTACGAAGGTGAAATGAAATGCACAATAAAATCGAAAACTGAATGAGTAAAATGACGTTCATTATTTATCTATGAACGCATATCAGATGCACGATGACAAAATGCAATCTATAGAATAAATAATGAAAACTGCATTTAATCCTGTTGGGAGGGTAAAAATGGATTTAAATTTTTAACACTTAAGTACCAACAAAAAATGGTAACTTATTGGTAAACTATATTAAATTCTGACGAAAATGTAATCTAATCTACTACACAGTGATGTGTAATATCGTCTTATTAATTAACCACGGTTGGCTATATTACGCAACCACCTACTAAATCCCCATTCAAAAACGAAAACAAAAATACCTATCCGGAAATGGTTCTATAAAAACCCGTTACTTATAGATGCATAATGATTTTGTCAGTATTGAGTCAAGAGATTATGCTAAAAACTTGCTGTCCGCATTAATTCGCAAAACAAGTTTCACATGAGGATAAATTGCTTATGTTAGTTCTACAATTTGTAATACAATATTACACGGCAAAACAAATTGTACTACCTTCCAAAAACCAAAATATTTCAGCGTGGATAAACAAAACTAGTTAAAAACTTACCTGTAACGTAGCCTGAACATTTTTGCAGCCTCGGCCAATTTTAATTTTATTAAAAATTGTTCGGGGGCGTCATTGGTACTTTCAGCCTTATTTTCAATCTCTTGAATAAAACGATCGACCACATTTGCGATGAACGCTTCATAACTAGGATGATCAGGAGTGGGCAGAGGCTCGTGCCTGCAGAAACAAATCAATTTTACAATGTTACAGTAGCTATTGTCACAAAATTTTAAAATAATTACTTAAGCTTAAATGATAAAAATCCAGAAATGCTGTATATCTTAAGAACATGAATCTTAGAAGAAGATATTTAGTGCTATGCAATATTTACTCACCAGAATTTATCTTCTATGAAATGTGCCAAATAATGGCGCACTTCAATGGGGAAGTGTTCTCCATAAATGCTCTTAATTTGTTGAAAATATACGCTTTCGTTGGGAAGCAGCTGGGCTTTCGTCCAGAGAGCCATGTTTACAACTGTAAATAAAACATTCAATTTAGTTAAGTTTTTTTTTCCAAATCCGCCTTTGGTGTGATGTGATGATTTCATCCCATCCCTAATATCCCCAGATGATGAGAAAGTTTTACAATTAAAACAACTTTTGGTTGATAAATTAAGCTAGTAATGCATTTCTAATCAACTGTTATCATATTCCATTAATACATGTATATTATTTAACCTGAGCCAAATATAATTTCAAATTATTACTCTGATAACAAAAAGTTTAAACTCATTGAACTGAAAAAATATATATTGATGATAATCTACTTTGTGCCAATTTGAAAATTTCATTCTCCAAAATTGCGTGCACAATGTGAGAACTTGTGTACCCAATTTTGACCAAGTGAAGGGACTATTTTTCTTAGGGTCTACTTTCTGCTTTACGTTAAAGTTTTATTTGTTAATAAGTTCAGTTTCTTGACCGATATCGAAATTGCAAGATGGTTGATTTTCTTGGGGATTCGGTCTGGGCAGTGGTGAAGAAAAGGACAAACTGTTTTAGCTGCTTTGAGCACCACTGCCCAGACCAAATGCCCAAGAGGTAGGTAGCTATAAAGGTAGATAAAAAGTTTTTCTTCTTCTTCACCACTGCCCAGACCGAATTCCCAAGAAAATCAACCATCTTCAAGTTTTATTTATTGCTGATGTGATAGCGAAACAAACAAAATAGGATTAGATAAGAAAACGACATTATTTTCTATTATAGAGAACAAATTGAATATTCGTTTTTTTGGTTTTGTTATCGATATTTACATGCGCCTTATAAGCTTGCCTTGGCAGTTTATCGGAAAAGTACACACTTGCCTACATATAATTCCTAAAAAAACATGTAAACGTTTTTGTAATTAGACGGTTACTGTTTAAATGATATTTCGAAAAATAAATTGCTTTATAAGAATTAAATCGTCACAGTATATTACAAGAAATAAATATATTTTAAGTATAAATAAAATATTATAACATACACAGCTTTTACTATATTGGGTTAGTTTCATTTAAGCAATTAAATTAATTTGGATTTAAAAATTTAATGTCGATCTTGGTGCTTAATGGGTGAATATTAAAAGTTGAAGTCAATCAATTGTGCCAAGCCAAGTACTTTCTACAAATTTGTCATAATCTCGGTGTCAAAAGAAGTATATGGGGAATAACATTGCTCAGAGAAAACTTGGTTGAATATCGCGGTCAGGACTAATAAATCAGATTCACTTCAAAAGGCCGTTAGAAAAAGATTAATCGATCAAGCAGTTTATATACCCATTAATATATTAATATATATGACGTTTGTTGTTCTCCACAATAGGCCTGTAACACAACTTTACAGCCTTATTGATTTAATGGAAGACGCGACACAAAGCACACACGTATACAAAATGAAACCCAAATGGCCAAATCACATGTGCGAGTGATTGTACTGCACACCTAATTTCTAAAGCTGCAGCCTGGATTAAGCTCAAATGCAATTTGTCTAATTAACAACGCCACTAGACACATTCATTAGTGCTGAGACTACGGTGAAAAACAGGTATTTAAACAAATTTCTTTCAAAATTGTCATTTTTTTATCACGTCGAAGACACCCAGTACTCAACACGAAAAAACTGAGAACCATCATAAAAACCAACAGCAGCGGAAAACATTTTCTTTGCACATTTTTGAGCTTATTTCTCGAAGATATTAGCTCTTAAAAACTAAATTACCTTTGAGACTTTGCTATTAAATCATAATGTAAAGTAATTTAGTGAACTATCAGTCTAGGTAAACATTGCTAACAGGTGCAAATTGCGAAACTTGTTTCTACTTTGGCAAAATTTGCATTGGGGATTATTACAATTAAGATTTTTTTTAAAGTTTATGAAAATCCACCCCAGATGAATGATAATTTTTAATATCCCTGAATGAGAGCAAAACAGAATACAACTGAAAAATGGACTTAAAAAAGATAGGAAACACGACAATTGGATTATTTACCGAAATAGTGCTCCACACCATATTAGATAACTACTAACTAATGCAGACCTTATAAGTGTATGCAGTTTAATAATATTGACAATAAGGCAAACGCATGTGTTACTTAGCAAAAAAATACACACCTTTTCTCGTAAAACGAAAATTCCTAGTTCTCAAAAGTCACAGAATAGCTCTAGGAATTTAGGCACCCACCGAAAACATTTTACTCATCGCAGAGAAGGAAGGGAATAAGCTGTTGTTAGAACGCTGGGTAATAACTACCTGACTTCGAAATCGGAAACTGTCGCACAAGACACTTGTCCAATAGGAAATAAATATCGAATTTCGTTTCTAATACGACCCTCACGCTGTCAGGTACCAGTTATTGTCTTTAAACTATTTCAACGTTGCACATAATGATGCCAAAACTTTCTCTATTATTGACAAAAAAGAACAAAATCATGAGAAAATAATGTTTTTTTGCGTTTTCGATTAAAAACTTTCAGTTTTGTGATCGGTTTTGGCGAAAAGCGTAATGGGAATAAAAGTTTTTGTAAATTTTTTACAAACCTGTAAATTTATCTTGTAATTTTTCGAGTCAGTCCTCCAGATCGTAAGTAAAACTTAAAATAAGTGAAACTCTACAAAATAGAGTGTTTTTGAGTAGAAAGTAAAGCACAGAAAAATTCAGTCGAAACTAAAAAACCACATGTTTTTAACAAACTCTACAGTCTTCAGAGGGATGGAGGTGACGAGATTTCCAAATAATCTACCTTAAACTTTCGCTTATTCTGTTCGTTTTTTGATAGAAAATTGTTTGATTTTTGTTCAAAATTCGAAGCTGGAAAGGGATTTCAAAACTTTTTCGTCAAAGCGACGAAGGATTCGAAATTTATTTTATAACTTTTCGCGGAAAATACCTTTGAAACTAGAAAATTGAGCATTTAGAAGAAAGAGTAACTTGGGTAAAACTGAATAATTCTGAAATTTGAAGACATTTTAAAAATATTATTAATAGATAGCCTTTAAAATAAATCGAGAAAAAAGTTAAAAAAGATCATCAACATTTTCCCAGCAACGGAACTGAGCTACTGCGCCGGTGCGTTGGGTTGACGCACCAAGCCATTTGCGCAGCACTGCGCCAACAAAAAATTCACTTATGCCCAGTTTCTCAACATTTGCCCTTATTGTTTACATAACTATGTAGTGGTTAAAGTTATAAGACCGATAAGATTTTATGGGTTTCCGAACGGTGACAGACAAAGTTATATCGGGCTCATAACAATCCGTTAGATAAGTACCTATTTAGTTCGACCGATAGAGGGAACTGCTTGATAGGTTCCATTTTTGACTGGTAGTACGGAAGGTGCAAAATACCTGTAAAAAAGAAGCGGATAGTAAAGAACTTTCACTTTTGTGCATCGCAAGCTAGATGACGCCAAAAAAAAAACGCATTTTGATGGGTCGGTAAACATATGGTTTGAAGATGTTTCAAAAAACCGCAACAGATTTGATGTAAAAGCTCTCGGGTTTTTATCTGAATTCAGCATAACTGTTCACTAACGGACAATTAATTCCTTCTCACAGGTTATGTTTTAAGGTAGTCCCCAATAAGGTCCAATAATACACTGAAACAGTGTTTCGTTAAACGAAACCTATAGCGAAATTCAGAATCTCCATATTTGTTCATTTGGCCCTCTCGTTCAAGATACCGTCTTGACCGTTCAATATAACTTAGAGGTTCAATAATTTCATCATCAGAAGATTAACTCTAATTATCCATTTTAAATAATTATAATAAATTTTTATACGTTAAACAAAACAAAACTGTTATGCAATGCTGTTATGTAATAAGAATAGGTTATGTTAGGTTAGAATCGCTCTGTTGTAAAAATAAAAACAAACCCTACACGCTTGCGTCGGACATTATGAAGCCGATATCCATCCATCTTCGAGTAGATATCTATTCGATAACTTATGGAACCAATAAGCTTTAAACAGACGTTGAGAAACCCAACAGACGTGATTTTGGTAGTTTATGAGACTCATAAGCTTATGTAAGCGATATGTTGGAGTTCGGAAACCGGGCATTAGTTATCCAGGCCTAATACCTACTACGTGAAAAAGTGAAAGTTACTGAAAAAAGTTAGAGAGCCTTTCAAAAGTGCAGATTCCTGGAAAAGAACTAGTTGAAAAACTATTGCAGGCGTTATCAGTGTATGCAGTTTAATATAGACAATAAGGCAAACTCATGTACTACTTAACAAAAGAAAATACATAATTCTACTCGTAAACGGAAATTCCTAATTCTAAGATGTCACAGAATGGCTCTAGGAAATTAGGCATCCACCGTAAACATTTCACTTATAACGCAGATAATGTTAGAAGGGTGGGAATAACCTTAAATAAAAATACTTAGTTAATCTATGGGAATAACTACTTGACTTCCGAATTGGAAACACTTGTGCAATAGGAAATGTCTCGTGTTGCGTTTCCAATACGACCATCACGCTGTCAGGTAGGTACCTGCTATTGTCGTTAGACCATTTCAACGTTGCACATATTGGTGACAAAACTTTCTCATGGAGGTAAATCTGCTCACATTTGCTCAAAGTGAACCAAACACAACCGTAATTAGTGAAAAACAGCTTTCGCAGATGGATAGCGAAATATCCTGACGACTGACTGAACATGTTAAACAGTTTCAGTAAATACGCCGCTTTAGGCTGGCTGAAAAAGTTTCGAAATTCTTTATTTACCATAATTATCGAGTTACCAACGATCAAAGTCAGTAGACAGTGCCAAGGTGAAAGCCGTTAAAGATCAAAGTCTCACTACTATCAAGCAGCCAATTTTTTTTAGTGACTACCAGTTTATTTTATATTTACTATTAATCTTCCCATCCCCGAAGAACGATCCGAATGTTCTGGATCTATTGAAAGCCAAAATGAACACTTACAAATATAAAAGTATTCAGTTGTGAACATGTACCTACTCAGTGCATATAAGTGTTCAATTCGGAAAAT